TCAACCACTGCGCCACCAGGGAGGCCCGCAAGCACTAGATCTTAAAACAAATTCAAGCAAGAGGGTGGCAGAATAGAGTGTTCTAGGGAACATTTTCCCAGCTCTACTACAGTTAATACAGCAATTCGTAAGGCAAGAACTGTAGTAAAAATACTCATTAATAACCAGCTTATTTCTCTAACCCTATTTGAGGAAAACCAGGCTTGAGAAAATGAGCAGCACAGTTCAGCACTGAAGTTTAAAAAATCAAATTCTTCCCTCCAACAGTAAAGACACCTTAGGCTGCATTCATGATCCTCTACATTTTATTGTTTTTTACCTATACATCTTAGTCTCCCACTCCAGCCCAGAAGGTAACTTCCCCATCCCCATGCTTAATCGACCCGTGGACTTTGGTTACTTGCACTGCTGCTGTACCCTATCTTGAAGTTTATCCTATCAGCAGAAAGCTCAGATAGCTCACAGTAGCTCCATGGACTAGATCTAGCCCAAAATGTACTATTTCTTCTCCTTTCTGAAGCATGAGCGGGGCTCTGAGAAGCAACACTCTGCCTCTCCCGCCCACAGCCCTGACATGCTGCTGAGAGAAGGCGCACACAACGTGGGGGACGCGTCCAGCCCATCACCAGTGAAAGCCAGCCTGGGCTCTCTCTGGGGCTCAACCATGCCTAATCTCCTTCTTAGGCAGCCTGACAGCAAATGCCTCATGAAATTCAGGGGACAGTACCAACAGGATTCACTGAATGACAAAATTATTGTAAGTTAACTATAGCACATTTTGCAATAAAAATGCCTGTTATTACTAGAAAAGGCCTCCCCTCATCTATAGCAGCAATAATAATCTTTGTGTAAGTTTCATATAAAAATACAGCATGTAGGGTCTCCCTGGTGGCACAGTGGTTAAGAAACCACCTGCCAATGCAGGGGATATGGGTTTGAGCCCTGGTCCAGGAAGATCCCACATGCCGTGGAGCAACTAAGCCCATGTGCCACAACTACTGAGCCTGCGAGCCACAACTACTGAGCCCACACGCCACAACTACTGAAGCCCACACACCTAGAGCCCGTGCTCCGCAACAATATAAGCCACCACAATGAGAATCCCGCGCACCGCACCGAAGAGTAGCCCCCACTCACCGCAACTACAGAAAGCCTGTGTGCAGCAACGAAGACTCAACACAGCCAAAAATAAATAAAATTTTAAAAAATTTTTTTTTTTTCTTTTTTTTTTTTTTTGCGGTACGCGGGCCTCTCACTGTTGTGGCCTCTCCCGTTGCGGAGCATAGGCTCTGGATGCGCAGGCTCAGCGGCCATGGCTCACGGGCCCAGCCGCTCCGCGGCATATGGGATCTTCCCAGACTGGGGCACGAACCCGTGTCCCCTGCATCGGCAGGCAGACTCTCAACCACTGCGCCACCAGGGAAGCCCTAAAAAAAAATTTTTTTAAGGTAACTTTGTTTTCTTGAAAGACTGAAATATCACTAAAATATTCGTCAGAGATTTTCCCCCTCTTACAACACAATCCACCTCACTTGGCAATCATTTCATCTTTCACGACTATTCCATTTGTACAGGATGTTAGCTCATTCCCTAAACAATGCTTCTGTTTTGCCATTATTTGAACATCAGCAGTCCCCACCGCCACCACCCCATAACAGATAAGCATTTTCTCTGTTGTCTATCCTCAGTCCGGGATCTGATTTTCTGGGCACTTTCCTTTCTCAATTAATGATCTTACTCAAGGACTGGTCCCAGAATACATACAGGAAGACTCTGACACCAAGGGCCCTCACTAAGCCAAAAGCCCAGTGTCCCAGGCAACTGGCAATTTTCTACTTAAGAGACTTCAAATCCCAAAAGGTAACATAAGGCTTAATTTTGTTAGGCTACGGCTAACCGATAGGCAACTGCCAGAACACAACAAAATGAGTAACACAGATCAGTGGAAAATTGATGCCACTCCTCAAACTTAGCTTTTGTTCATGGACAGCTGCTCATAAGGCTTTAATTTTAAACTACGTACATATCACATTTCCTACTAGCTGAATAACACCTAAATCATATGAAAGAATTAAATATCTCAATAAGTCACAGAGTTGTGCAAACAGCACCATGACCAATGAGGGAAATCAGTACTGCCCTGGGTGATGACTACTGAGCTCCATTCTCAGAGACACATGCAACAGGGGAGTGAGAGTAGCCAAAGCACCTGTGAACACCATTCTGTAAACTCAGCACTTAAATTATTTCCTCCTGTCTCAAAAAAATTTTAAATACAAAAATAAAACCAATGCTAGTTTTTTTTTTTTTTTTTTTTTTTTGGCGGTACGCGGGCCTCTCACTGTTGTGGCCTCTCCCGTTGCGGAGCACAGGCTCTGGACGCGCAGGCTCAGCGGCCATGGCTCACGGGCCTAGCCGCTCCCCGGCATGTGGGATCTTCCCGGACCAGGGCACGAACCCGTGTCCCCTGCATCGGCAGGCAGACTCTCAACCACTGCGCCACCTGGGAAGCCCCCAATGCTAGTTTTTAGCCAGCCTGAGAGAGGAATACTGTGTGTGATTCCTTCTCCCTTACTCTTAATCAAGCTATTTCTGCCTGTCGTCTTTGGTCAAATTCCTGAACCACTTAAAACACCACTGAGCCCCTTTATGTGCAGCCAAGCCACCAAACGAGCCAGGACCTTTGCCGCCCAGCCCCAGAAAGGAACTGGTGTTGACATGCTCCTCAGTGAGGGAGGGGAAAAAAATCCATCTTCTACTTCTACCATCATCTAAAATTTCATGGATTATTTTCCTCTTTGCTTCATTTTCTCTTTAACCCTTTCCTGAGGTTTCAACTTTCTTCCATCTCTCTTTGTTCCTTCAACTCTGTTCCGAGTTCTTTTTGTTCTACTCTTCATGATCTTGAGGGACAGAATAATGCCCTTTTACGACAGTAGAGAATATACAGCAGGGACTAGGGGAATGTAGCTCACACCAATAACATCAGCTACATCATCAAAATCCACAAGTATCTCAAAATTATTCAATACCTATTATGGATGAAACACTATGATAGCGATGATGGGAGAGAGAAGGTAAAATGTAGTTTCTGCCCTCCAGAAAGTAACAATCTAGTTGGAGAGAACATGTAAAAACATGTGAAAAGGTAAAACAACGTGAAGCAGTTAGAAGACTGCACTATACGATGTAATAAACATGGGCTGTAACATTTGGACACTGGGACCAAAAGAAACAACCACTGTGTTCTAGAGGGTCTTGAGGAGGCTCCCTCAGGGAAATCACAAGGTAGACTCTGAAGGAGCCCTGAGGGTACTAAAAGGTGAGGAGATGAAGGAAAGGCTTTCCAGGGTGCCGACAATATGACAGCCTAATAAAAAGGAAGGACGTAAAATGGTAAATTTTATGGATTTTACTACAATTAAAAAAAAAAAAAGAGGAAAGGGCCTGTGCCCCTCAGCTGTGCCCCGCTTTAGCAGGTCAGGAAGTCAGTGCAAGGGGCTGGACAAACTGAGAATTCCTACGCATAGATGGGAACATCCTGATGAACTTAGTCAATTGATACCGTCCAGAACCACACACCTGACAATTTTTTTTTTGTAATTTTAAATACCAAGACTATGTATAATATGGTTAAAGTAAAAGAAACTAGTTGACCAGATAGGGAGAGGTGTGAATAACGAGGAAGGAAAAGATCTGATGCCTCTTTTCTACCAGGGAAATGCCCTTGGAAAGCAGAGGTCCCAGCAGCTTTGTTATCGTTATGGTGGAGAAATCCCAAACCCAGAGGTTCCAATGGGTCTCCATTCTTCAGAGTTTTATGCTGAGCACGAGAGGAAATGTGCACACTTCTAGGAGTGAGTCACACAAAAAGCTTTAGCTTTCAGCTTCCAGCTAGTTGCTAATAAAGCCCTGAGTGTCCAAATCCAAGGTATTAGTTAGCCTTTGCCGATCAATTGGAAAAAAAAATTGCCTGAACTAGTAGATAAGGCAACTTTTATAGTAATGACCCATGGCACACCTTAGTTATTTCCATTTAAATACCAACATGAAAATTATCTGGTTGAAATCATTCCAATGTGCTCTTGATCTTCAATTTTAGCAAACAACAAAATCCATGTAACAGTTCCTGAAAGGAAGGTCAGGGAAAACAGTAAAGTAGGAGAAATTTCCCCACTTTCACATAATGGCCAATGTTAGAGGAGAAAGAAACATGCTGGGAAATTGTCTAAATGACTATAATAATATTCACATTCACAGTACATGGTGTTCTATGTGGCTATGCTATGTACTAGTGTAATATTACATAGTACAAAAGGTACATAGTGAGGACAGTAACTGGCCTGAGGTGCAAGATATTGAAAAGTATGCTAGTTTAAGTGTTAAAAATAAGGTGCTTGCTAGAATAACCAATTTTGTTAATTATTTAAAATTTTAATTTAACACCCCCCAAAATCAGTGAAATACAAGCTATGAGAACTTGCTTTATTCTTAGTTATTGCTAAAATCTCTTTCAACATCAGACATTAGTCATCAGTATACGAAACAAATGAGCTCATTAGCCCAGAAGCACTGATCATTCACAGCAAACCAGGAGATCTAGGTACCTCTCTTAAGACATTTATCAGTCACCCACACCCTGGTGTGCTGAAGATGGTGATTCTGATGCTTATCCTATCTTACCTCATAAAGTTTCATAAGACTTTCTGAAACAAGTGTTAATCTATGCAGTTCTGCTTCTATGTACTTCTGGTCTATTTTTCCTGAATCCACCCCACCCTTCCTTTCTAATTCCTAGTAGTCCGGGAAGCTGAGGACCTTAGATATGCACATATTAGCAAACAAAGTAAATGCATCACATGTGTCCAGATGATGCAACATACACTTATATTTGGTTTCAAGCTACAGGACATTTGATCAGTCTGGAGGAGACGTTAGCAACAGCTCATATTTAGATTTAATTGCAGGAATTACACTTGGGAATTGACAACGCTGCTCACCTTTAAGACAGAGGCTAAGCTGGTCATGTGCTCATTGAGGGCACCCTCGGACTCCTTGTAGGTCAAGCAGGTGAACTGGTACTCCTCAGGATCAAAGGCATCGGCCCCCTGCTGCTCCACATCGCTGGCTACACCCACATAATAGTCCTCTATGTCCCCAGGGTCCTCGTCCTCTTCTTCTTCCTCACAATTCGGGTCATAGTCCTCTTCATTGCTGTCAGACCCCTGGCTATTCATGTCCACAGACATCTTAACATCCAGACGAGTTGCAGATCAGGAAAGCAGTTTTTTCCCCTCCCCACAAACTTTACCACTTTCTCAAATGCATTAGTGTTTTCGTCTTCTAAGGGAAGAAAAGAAAAAAATAAGTGTTACTTTCACTATGAGAAGCTGTAACAGAAACCATTCAATAATCAAAATGGCATAGCCCTGGTCCTATCCCCACTGTGGCCTATTGCAACTCTCCCCTCATACAAGAAACCTCACCACCATCTCTATGCCAGGCCTTTCAAAGGGAAACCCTTTCCTGGAGGGGCAGAAGCAGTTAACAATGGTCATTTCACATGAAGGGTCTGGCATGAAAGAGTAAGGCTATCTGCTCTATGTCAAGGAGTTAAATTCCTATAGATTTGTCCTTCCTGCCACGGTCCTTAAGAGAGGAGTACATTCCCACAGCTGGCTGCCCACAGAAGAAGCACCCTAAAAGCTAAACAACCAAAGTTTAAAATCTCTTAGCTAATTATGCTCCACTGAGAATACCATTGTTTTACAGACATCACTCTCAGATAAATGGAAAAAAAGGTGCATAGTAAAAAAATAAAAACCACATAGCTCTTCAACATCCTCCTCTAGTCTGCAAAATTAACTGATTTTTCCATTTTAAAGGATTCTACTAATCTTTTAAAAGAGGTAAAAAATAAAAACCACATAGCTCTTCAACATCCTCCTCTAGTCTGCAAAATTAACTGATTTTTCCATTTTAAAGGATTCTACTAATCTTTTAAAAGAGGTACTTAAGAGGCAAAGAAACTGACCCAATAGTGAAGGAAAACTATAGATATTCTGCCTTAGCAGGATCAAGGCTAGAATCTACTTAGGGTAAAGAAACAAGAGATCAAATGTAACCAGCTACTGAAAAATCCTCACAGATCAAAATGTTACTCAATTACATATAAATGAAAAGAGAATACTAGTTGAGAAAGCAAAACAGTCACAAGTCTTAACTTCTTCTCAGAGAGGACTTTGGCAAATACCCATTAACTTCTCTGCACAATGATCACTATTTCAAGTGATCATTTCCAAGGAACAGTATCAAATAGTGATTTAAATCTAAAAATAATAGGACCTTAAAATGCAAGAGCATTTGGATTGAATAGTATGTAAATAATTTACATAACCAAATCTGGATCAAATACTAAAGTAAATTTAAAACCTATTTGAAGTACATAATCTCGCCAAAAAAAAAAAAAAAATTAAAACAAAGATTAAAAATCAATGTGTGCTGAATATGTAACCAGTCTAAGGGATTATAGAGCCACATTTTAATGATATTGTAAAAATACCAGTGAATCTACCTCTGATATGTTACCTATAAATGCTCAAATTAAAAAATAAGTCACATTAATGAGAGGGCAGTAATGTAATACTTGCAGTTTGACTTTTAACAAAATTGTTTTGTATGCTAAAACCACCTCATCACAACTGAACTTAACTATGGTATTTTTCCTTTAGAAGAAAAAATTAATCTTTAAATTAAATTAAAAATACCTGTAATTCCTGAAGATCTTTCAGGAAGATGTCATCCAAATAGTCTATATAATTTCCATCTAAAATGAAAAGAGATAGTTCTATTTATATATTTTAAAATTGGTACCCTGAGTTTGCAAATTTATTTTTTAAAAAGTAAAGACATTTAAAAGGACAAGCAGCAAGGGACCAGAAATTGTTTTCTTATAAGTCCCACAGAAATCTATATGTCATAATTATATACTGACAAGAGTTACATGGCCTTCTAAAAAAAGAAAGCATTGAAAGTAAACAGTGGGACTTCCCTGGTGGCACAGTGGTTAAGAATCCACCTGCCAATGCAGGGGACACAGGTTCAATCCCTGGTCCAGGAAGATCCCACACGCACGGAGCAACTAAGCCCGAGCACCATAACTACTGAGTCTGCACCCTAGAGCCCATGTGCCACAGCTACTGAGCTCGCGTGCCACAACTGCTGAGGCTCACGTGCCTAGAGCTCGTGCTCTGCAACAAGAGAAGCCACTGCAATGAGAAGCCCATGCACCGCAACGAAGAGTAGCCCCTGCTCACGGCAACTAGAGAAAAGCTTGCGCTCAGCAATGAAGACCCAACACAGCCATAAATAAATAAATAAATAAATAGACTTAAATAAATAAATAAATAAATAAACAGCTAACAATAATTTAACCTGGGGTACTGGTGAGAGAAATGGATACTCAGTTCCCTCCCTCAGTTTGAAGGCCCACCACACCTCACTTTTTTTTTTTTAATTTTTACTGGAGTACAGTTGATTTACAATGTTGGGCACCACCTCACTCTTATCGTTAAGGTTTCCTAAATTAACTACCACAATTTCAATTTTAAATGTTACATAGAGGGCTTCCCTGGTGGCACAGTGGTTGAGAGTCCGCCTGCTGATGCAGGGGACACGAGTTCGTGCCCCGGTCCGGGAGGATTCCACATGCCGCAGAGCGGTTGGGCCCGTGAGCCGTGGCCGCTGGGCCTGCGTGTCCGGAGCCTGTGCTCCGCAAAAGGAGAGGCCGCAGCAGTGAGAGGCCCGTGTACCACAAAAAAAAAAAAATGTTACATAGAGGTTGACAAAGCAAATCATAACTGACTTAAACTGGACTTTTGCCATGAAGTCATCTCCACTAACACTTACAGAATACTGCCAATATTTCAGATCTCACTTTATTCATGAAAAAAATATTTTCAAATAAAAAAGTCCCCAAAAGAAAAGAAAACAAAAAACAAAACAAAACAAAAAAAAGAGAGAGATAGAAAACAGAGGGAATTCCCTGGTGGTCCAGTGGTTTGGGCTCAAAAAAGAAAAAAAAATGTCTCCAGTAGAATGCCCACTAGGCAATATTAACACCCATTTTCCACCTCTCTTCTGACATGCTCAAGGGAACCTGACTTTCTCAGAACTGCAGATCCCACTATCCAAGACTAAATAAGTACTATTTGCTTACTTAATTAGAAATTTTATGTCCATTTCTTTATCCTTTTGAATTTCTTGGAAAACCAGAGCTTATAACTTACAAAGAAATACTTCAAACACAAACAGGCAAATTTAAACTAAATGAAAATCAAAGTCCGAACAATGATTATGGAAGATGATTTCCAAAATAGAAGACGAATAATTGATTTTTTTATTGTTTTCTTTTATCTGCATTTTTATGTACGATACTGATTAGGCAAATCTGCATAAAGAGCATTATAAATATTGCTCCCATCTACAAAATATCACTACCAATAATAGCTTTCATTTAATGAGAGCCAATTTCAGGTCAGACTCATTCTCATTAAATGTTTATAACCCTACAAAGTGGCTATCATCCCCTTCTTACAAATGAGGAAACTAGAGTTCAAAAAGATTAAGCAACTTGCCCAGGACCACACTGCTGCCAACCAGTAGAGTCCAGCATAATACTTTCACCAGATCCAGGGCCTATGAGGACTCATAAGGCTCCATCACCCTCCCAGAGAGCCTAATACTATCCACAAAGCTACCTCCAGAATCACAACAAAAAATGCACCGTTTTGGGCTTCCCTGGTGGCGCAGTGGTTGAGAGTCCGCCTGCCGATGCAGGGGACACGGGTTCGTGCCCCGGTCCGGGAAGATCCCACATGCGCGGAGCGGCTAGGGCCGTGAGCCATGGCCGCTGAGCCTGCGCGGCTGGAGCCTGTGCTCCGAAGGCAGAGGGCCCGCGTACCGCAGGAAAAAAAAAAAAGAAGCACCGTTTTCACTTTCTCTAGATTTTTCTCCAGGATTTGGGCTTACAGGTTGCCCATGGCCTTCTCACCAACTAAATATTCAAGAAACAGGGGAAAACTTCAGGCTGCCTTCCAAAAAGGAGAATGTCATTTCATACTTACTGGGTGTTTTAGGTCCAAATTTAAATAAAACCTTAATTTTTAATCTTTTCCAAGTTAAATATCCCTATTCTATTTGAAAGAGTGCCGACGTTGCTTAAAGGGGCCAGTATGTTATTACTTTATTAACAGAACTGATGATAATGCTTTGATTTCCTTTGGATATTAAATATTATCCTTACATCCCAAACAGAAAAGGAGTAACAGAAATTACTCCTCCCCCTGCCACCAGTCAAAGTCACGTGTTCAGAAGACCTGCCACCCACCCGGGGCTAAAGAATTCAAACGGAAGACTTCTCAGTTTAAAGATGACAAGAACAAAACACAGACTTTTTGGTGGGTCTGACAACGTTTACTCCAGACGTAATATTTAGCACTGTAGGGTCAGTTACTAAGTCTACAAGTCCGAAGAAAATTACTTGATACATAAATATGAACCGTGTCTAATACGGTAGCCACTAACCACATGTGGTTATTCAAATTTAACTTAAAAATTAAATTTAACATTTGCTTTTTCAGTTGAACGAGCCGTAAATCAAATGCTCAATGTCCACGTGTGGACAGTGGCTACCCTACTTAACAGCAAAGATACAGAATATGACCACTGTGGCAGAAAGTTCTATGGGACAGGGTAACAATCAGTACTGAGGTGAAGTCATCCCAGAACACGGTCGCCTCTGCCGCCGCTAGCACAGCAGCGTCGGGCGAGGCGTCGACGCAGCTCCTGGGCCGCCTGTCCCGTCCGAGGCGCCGGGATATCCGCGAGGACACGGAGCCCACGCGCTGCGGGACCCTTCACCAACGGACGTTAACTAACCGCGCGGGCGGCACTGCTAGAGCTCCCAACGATGACTCGAGTGGGGAGCCCGGAAGGCAGCGCGTCTCCCGGCGCGCCTGGCGGGGAGGGCCCAGATGCGCCGGCGCCAGTCGGTCAGAGGCGCTGGCCTCCGACCTCACTGCGAGCTGAGCAGGCGGCGAGAGTAGGAATAACGGAGAGACGCCAGGCGCCGGTTCGCCCTGGCCTCAGCCTTCAGCCGCCCCTCGGCGGGTGGCGGAGTACGCTGAAACAGTGTAAGAGCTGCCAAGGGCGCCGGGACCTCGCGGGCAGCGACGAAGGCGGAGCCCCGGCCGAGCTAGGGAGGCGCGCGGAGAGCCCACCCCCTCCCCCGGCCCGCCAGGGTAAACAAGGCCTAGACTCGCACCGTGCACTTACCGGGAGCCGTGGCCCCGCGGCCGCTGAGCCCGGGCGGGCCAGACCGGATCGGGCCGGGCCAGAAGAACCGGGTCCAGGCGCGGCGGCGGCGGAGGCGGCGGGCCAACCCCGGTCAAGGCCCGCGCTGCTTCCTCCGGCTAAGCCGTCTCAGCAGCTCCGGAAGTACTCAGAGCAGTTCCGTCACTTCCGGCCCAGGGTCGACCCGCGGTCGCTGGGGTTGCGGCAGGCGCTGGGCAGTAACGCCTCTCTGCCGACACTTCACTACAGCCCAGCGCTGCGACCCAGAGTGGGCCAAGAGCACAGCCGGTGCCGACGGCTGCGAGAGGCAGCAGAGAGGATTTGGCTTATTGGAGAGTGGTCACGGCATCTCTTCCGGCTTTTGCTTACCACCGCCGCCCGCCGGGATACTTTAAACCAGGGTTCTTCTGTCGGACTCCCCACTTCTCTGTTTGTAATCGGTGTCCGGCACCGAAAAGACATCCAGACGTTCGTGGAGTGGATAAAAGACTGTTGTTTCCCGGCCGCTATCTAGTCGAAGAAAAGCTAGGTCTTCGGGTCAGCGCGCAGGGCTGGGAATTTCTGCGTACGTCCTGAGGCCGTCGCCTGGTGGCCGCCGATTCACAGGACCACGCCAGGCTTCCGCTTCCCTCTCCGCGGCCTAGTTCACTGCCTAATTCTTTGGCTTCCCATTCACCCAAGATTGAATCTTAACTGCCTTGTTGCACAGTTTCTTCAAACAGTATAGGAAGTGCCATTATGACTTTCAGTACCTTTTAGGGCTTTTATCAAGTATTATGGATAGATAGAGCCGTGAAGTCCCATTCAAGTTGCTGCTGCACAACGTGGAAACGCCTGTTTGAAGCCAGTGATGTTAGGGAGCCTCCTCGCTGTGCAAGTCCGTAGATAACCCAAACCATTTCCACCCATACACTGATATTCAAGATATTCAAGATATTGATGTGTAATGGGCTCTCTTTTTTTTAGTTCTTGCTTCTTGCATGTATTCGTGTATTTCTTATACATGATTTTCAGCTTCCTGTTTAATTCAGAGCCTGTACCCAAGTCAGGTGCATTCAAATACTAGAAAGCCCCACATTAATTTGGAGTGAAAATTAATAGTAATTAGTAACATATTGTAGGGTTGTGAATTTTATGCATTAACAATGTAAAAGTCTATCTATAATCCAGTGTACTTATTTGTTATGACAAAACATATAATCCCTTTACATCATGACACTAGCGAAGGACCCAAAATATATTTTCTGCTAATGAAATCTCTTTAATTAGAAGCCTTCACTTTGGATCACTGGTAGTAAATCCTCTCCAGTGAATAAAAGGGAACAATCAGTTTTTCTGTATAATTATTGCATTTGCAAAATAGAGAATGAGGTCATTCACATATCAAGTACACAGGTGTATGTACAATATATTGGAATCCAGTGTACAATCCTTATTTGTTCTCCTGTCTTGCCTCTCTTAAAGCTGAGTTTCTTAAGGGCACAGATCCAACCTTGTTTTCAATATTACTCTATTAAATAGACGTTTATTGGGCTGATGCTAATACCATTATTTTTAACTAGTGACAATTTCTCCCCAGGAAATAAAGATTTAAAAATTAGGCCAAGGGCTTCCCTGGTGGCGCAGTGGTTGAGAGTCCACCTGCCGATGCAGGGGACACGGGTTCGTGCCCCGGTCCAGGAAGAACCCACATGCCGCAAAGCGCCTGGGCCCCGTGAGCCACGGCCACTGAGCCTGCGCGTCCGGAGCTTGTGCTCCGCAAACAGGAGAGGCCACAACAGTGAGAGGCCCGCGTAGTGGGAAAAAAAAAAAATTAGGCCAAAACATTTAAAGATACAGATAAAATTATGTGCACATATATGTGCTTTAGAATGGTGATTGTATAGGAAAAAGTTGGCAGCATCCCATATGTTCAAAAGTAAAGGTTTGTTATATTATGGTAAAATATACAATAAAGAAAACCATTAACAATTAGGCTGTACTGAGGCATCTATTAACAAGGAAAGGTATCTGTGATATGAATAGGATATGAAATGATGTGTGTAGTATTCTGTTTTCAAAATAAATTTGCACATAAGATATATAAATATAAAATATAATGTTTCTCTTGGTTTCTGTGGCACAGGAATCTGGACAGGCTACAGTGGGAATGATTTGTTTTAGCCCCTTGATGTCTGGGGCCTCAGCTAGAAGACTAAAATTTCTTAGCCAATATCATACAATTTTTCTTTTGTATAAACCTTAGATTCAGAATGACGGGTTTTCACTTTTGAAAATTCACTGGAGAGCATTGAATTTCTAAGAATAACTTAAGGGTAGTACTGATATCCTCAATATTGAGTCTTTGCATCTAAGGAATATAGTATTTCTTTACAGTTATTTTGTTTTTCTTTTATGTATTTGAATTGTTATAGTTTTAATCACATGGATCTTTGGTTTAGTCTTGCATACATTGTGGGTTTTGCTATTATTCTGAATAGGATTCTTTCTTCATGTTTTCTAATTGGTTATTGTTAACGTATCAAAATGTTATTGCTTTCCAACATTGTTCTTGTGTCTGTCTCCTTACTTAGCTTGCTTATTAGTTTTAGTGGATTTTCAACTGATTCTCTTCAATTTTCAAAGTGAGCATTTGGATCATTTGAAAATAGGGATATTTTGGACTCTTAATTTTTAAATTTATTTTCTTCCTTTTCTTTTCTCCCTCTTTTTTCACCTCCCTCTTTAATCCCCTCCCTCTTTTCTCCTTTCTTTCTTCCTTGCTTTCCTACTTCCTTCCCTCCCTCCCTTCCTGTTGGTAGTTTTGCACCAGCTACCATGTCCAGTAAAACGTTAAGCAGTAATCATGATTAAAAAACATCTTTACCTTTGTTCCTGTCATGAATAGGAAAGTTTCTGATATTTCACCAATAAATAATTTTGCTAAGAAAAATATGGTAGTTATGCGCTTCCCTGGTGGCTCAGTGGTTGGGAGTCCACCTGCCGATGCAGGGAATGTGGGTTCGTGCCCCGGTCCGGGAGGATCCCACATGCCGCGGAGCGGCTGGGCCCGTGAGCCATGGCCGCTGAGCCTGCGCGTCCGGAGCCTGTGCTCCGCAGCGGGAGAGGCCACAACAGTGAGAGGACGGTTTAAAAAAAAAAAAAAAAAAAAAAAAAAAAAAAAATATATATATATATATATATATATATATATATATATATGGTAGTTACTAGTTTGCTTTAAAAGAAAAGGTAGTTACTTTTTGTCTATTACAAGGGTGTTTACTTCAAATCTTTTTTTTTTTTTTTAGGTGAAGGAAAACGAGAATTTACTGCCTTTAAAATAAATGATAATTTTTTTTTCAAGTAAAAGGAAAATGATAACAGAGTGAAATCTGGAACTTTACAAATTAAGGAAGAGAAATTGGAATGATAAATATCTGCGTTAGTTTCCTAGGGGGCCATAACAAATTACTATAAACCTAGTAGCTTAAAACAACAGAACTTTATTCCGTCATAGACTCAGCTTCTGGTTGCTATAAGCCTAAGAATTTGTCCATTTCTTCTAGGTTGTCCATTTTATTGGCATATAGTTACTTGTAGTAATCTCTCATGATCCTTTGTATTTCTGCAGTGTCACTTGTTACTTCTCCTTTTTCATTGCTAATTCTGTTGATCTGAGTCTTCTTTTTTTTCTTGATGAGTCTGGTTAATGGTTTATCAATTTTGTTTATCATATCAAAGAAGCAGCTTTTAGTTTTATTGATCTTTGCTATCGTTTCCTTCATTTCTTTTTCATTTATTTCTGATCTGATTTTATGATTTCTTTCCTTCTGCTAACTATGGGGTTTTTTTGTTGTTCTTCTTCTTTCTCTAATTGCTTTAGGTGGAAGGTTAGGTTGTTTATTTGAGATTTTTCTTGTTTCTTGAGGTAGGATTGTATTGCTATAAACTTCCCTGTCAGAACTGTTTTTGCTGCATCCCATAGGTTTTGGGCCACTGTGTTTTCATTGTCATTTGTTTCTAGGTATTTTTTGATTTCCTCTTTGATTTCTTCAGTGATTTCTTGGTTATTTAGTAGTGTATTGTTTAGCCTCCACGTGTTTGTATTTTTTACAGTTTTGTTTCCTGTAATTGATATCTAGTCTCATAAGGTTGTGGTTGGAAAATATACTTGATACTATTTCAGTTTTCTTAAATTTACCAAGGCTTGATTTGTGACCCAAGATATGATCTATCCTGGAGAATGTTCCATGAGCTTGAGAAGAAATACACTTGAGAAGAAAGTGTATTCTGTTGTTTTTGGATGGAATGTCCTATAAACATAAATTAAGTCCATCTTGTTTAATGTGTCATTTAAAGCTCGTGTTTCCTTATTTATTTTCATTTTAGTTGATCTGTCCATTGGTGAAAGTAGGGTGTTAAAGTCCCCTACTATTATTGTGTTACTGTCAATTTCCCCTTTTATGGCTGTTAGCAGTTGCCTTATGTATTGAGGTGCTCCTGTATTGGGTGCATATATATTTATAATTGTTATATCTTCTTCTTGGATTGATCCTTTGATCATTACGTAGTGTCCTTCCTTGTCTCTTGTAACATTCTTTATTTTAAAGTCTATTTTATCTGATATGAGTATTGCTGCTCCAGCTTTCTTTTGATTTCCATTTTCATGGAATATCTTTTTCCATCCCCTCACTTTCAGTCTGTATGTGTCCCTAGGTCTGAAGTGGGTCTCTTATAGACAGCATATATATGGGTCTTGTTTTTCTATCCATTGAGCAAGACTGTGTCTTTGGTTGGAGCATTTAATCCATTCACACTTAAGGTAGTTATCAATATGTATGTTCCTATTACCATCTTCTTAATTGTTTTGGATTTGTTATTGTAGGTCTTTTCCTTCTCTTGTGTTTCCTGCCTAGAGAAGTTCCTTTAGCATTTGTTGTAAAGCTGGTATGGTGGTGCTGAATTGTCTTAGCTTTTGCTTGTCTGTAAAGGTTTTCTCCATCAAATCTGAATGAGATCCTTGCTGGGTAGAGTAATCTTGGTTGTAGTTTCTTCCCTTTCATCACTTTAAATATGTCCTGCCACTATTGGAAGACTCAATATTGTGAAAATGACTGTACTACCCAAAGCAATCTACAGATTCAATG